CTCTGGAGAGGTACTTTGAAACTCTAAATTACTAGAAAAAGTAACAGTAAAAGTGTTCATATTATGTTTGCAAGTAGTCTAAGAAGTACTAAGTACAAACATGGCAGTTTCATAAACTACTTATGGAAGAAATGTTTTTTAGACCACATTAAAGTTGACAAAAATGCTCATTTTTGTTCTCTGGAGAGGACTTTGAAACTCAAATTACTGAAAAAGTACACAGTAAAAGTAGTTCATATTATGTTTGCAAGTAGTCTAAGAAGTACTAAGTACAAACATGGCAGTTTCATAAACTACTTATGGAAGAAATGTTTTTTATACCACATTAAAGTTGACAAAAATGCTAATTCTTGTTCTCTGGAGAGGACTTTGAAACTCAAATTACTGAAAAAGTACACAGTAAAAGTAGTTCATATTATGTTTGCAAGTAGTCTAAGAAGTACTAAGTACAAACATGGCAGACTCATAAACTACTTATGGAAGAAATGTTTTTTAGACCACATTAAAGTTGATAAAAATGCTCATTTTTGTTCTCTGGAGAGGACTTTGAAACTCAAATTACTGAAAAAGTACACAGTAAAAGTAGTTCATATTATGTTTGCAAGTAGTCCTAGAAGTATTAAGTACAAACATGGCAGTTTCATAAACTACTTATGGAAGAAATGTTTTTTATCCCACGTCAAAGTTAGACAAAAATGCTCCTTCTTGTTCTCTGGAGGGAATTTTGCCATTCTCAAAAAGTACACATTAAAAGTAGTTCATAGTATTTGTGCAACAAGTTTATGAAGCAATAAGTCCTACAATTATTCTCATTACCCTGTTCCTCAATCGCAAATAATAGAAATGAACCACATGCCATCCTTTGCTTTGAAATCCAGCTTCCGAGGGTTGTTTTATTGCATTACCGTAAACCTGTAACTAATCGCGCACTCAAAATACAGGGGCGGCTGGTTTGACCACGCAAAAGTGAAAGACGGCTGGCTTGACCGCAGTAAACGGAGCCTCACGCGCCGCCTATGACCTCCTCACAGAAGCCGCCCACTGCGAGTATCATGTAATCATGCAAAACTTCTTAAAGACGTCACTTGGAAATAGTGCTCGTCACAGCATCATCAAACACTTTGTTATCTGCTTATTTTATTATATGACTGCATTGTGAAGGACACGACTGATTGGATTAGCTCTTATTTCTGAAGCAAACAAGAAAGTTGTATTTGAAGTCACAACACAAAGACCGTCTTAAGTATGTAATTGGACTGAATCATGTTCACGGTAATGAGGCTTTTAGCCATTGTGTCAATGAAATCCAATGATGTTGATGTAGAAACTTCTATATGCAGTAACTGTCTCTAAGTCCCATGTGTATGTGTTTCATGGTGCAGATGTGTTACATCTCATCTAGGTCATAATCAATTGTTGGATTCTGCACATGGTGTATCAGGTTGCAGGATGCATCCTTTCTTATTTTATGGTGAATAACCACTTTACTAGGTTTTCTCCTGAAACTCAATATCTCTAGGAGAGGAAGGTTCCATCATTTCCTTCCTCTTTGATTAACTTCATGTCATCCCTGTTTTCTTTTTGTTCCACAAAGTCACAAAAGTAAACACTGAAAACCAAGCAACTGACCTACATTTGACTTTCCCTCCAGTGTACATCTAAGATCACACATTGAGCAACTTTAGTAGAAATGTGTTGGCTCATAAAAGCACAAAGATGACCCATGTCAAATAAAAACAATACAAATTGTACTGTTAAATCGAGCCTGCTCAACACTGTGCTGGTATTTAAATGCTGTTTTAACATCAACAGCAGCGTAAAGAGTTACGTATCACAGCAGTTACAGCAGCGCCTGCACAGAGCCCTCAGTGCTGCATACATAATGCCCACATGAAGAGGACAGTGAGAGGTGAGTTTTTAAACTATTGAGCTCTCATGCTCCCCTTAAGGTGCCTTCAAAATTATGTTTTTTTAAATGTACTACAATTTATATGCACATTTAGAATTGCTTGTTTAAGCACTTAAGGGAAAAGACATCAGATTGAAATTGAGTGAACATTTCATTTTTCAGTTAGCATCATCCCACTTGAATCTTTAGCAAAAACATTTTTGGAATTTGGTTTCAATTGAAACAATTCATTTTCTTGCTGAGAGAAGATTTATACCACTCTTAAACAATAAACTATTTCAACATGAAATATGTAGCTAGCAAAGGCAACAAAAAGATTGAAATCAGGGGAAAACAGCTAGCCTGGCTATGTCCAAAGTTGACCAAATATTCCTACAAGAACGTCAAAAGAGAATTATTGACACTTTACACATTCCCATAAAACAACAAATTGTAATTTTAAATTTTTTAAACATATTATTAAGTAAGCCGTTAAGGTGCTGGGAGGAAGATATTTTTAGACAGAGCCATGCAAGCTGTTTCCACCTTTTTCCGGTCTTTTTACTAACTGTTGAAAGAAGTGTAAAAGTGAATTTTATTATTCCTCAAAGGGCCTTTCTTACTATTGTGTTTTACTCTCTACATTTCCTCCTATAAATGTTATTGCCCCTCAGGCCTCAGTTGTTTGTAACAACAGTTGCTCTGCTGTTCAGGGAGAATGAGCTGCCCAGTTGCAGGGCTGCAGAGTAAGTCATTCACTAAACACACTCTGAAATACACGTCACCACCGAGCACATGTCTGTTACTCTTCACTTGTGATCACTCTTGACCAGACTGTCCTGTCATATCAGTTCCAATAGTCACGGTCACACCCTTCAAAAGGAAGCACGTTCAGAGATTGCAGCAACGTGCTATCAGTGGATAGTGTGTAGGTGTGGTTTCTAGACGAACACCATACTACCTGGCTGACCAAGGTTCATACAAAACCATGTTTCTTTAGTGATTCCACACTTTAAGGACCAAAAACCTTTTCAGTGCCAACAATAAGTTTAGTGTCAACTTCAGTTCTCACGCTGGCATCAGCCTCTGGAGCAGATCCTGGACGCAAACAAAGGCAGAGGCAGAGCCACCTAAAGCAAACAGCCACGCTGCCTGCAGCAAACAGCCACGCTGCCTGCAGCATACTCACAAGTAAAATGCACGGTCACAATATGCAGAGCAGAAACTGTCTAATAATGCAGTTTGGTAAGAACATGCAAATGCTCGTGCTACATTTGTTTAGTTAGAGTTTGAGTTCACACTGTGTCTCAGCAGGTGTGATATAGTTTATTCAGCAACTATTTCAAATATTTTCTTTTGTATGGAATAGATTTACAGCTTTGAAGTATATTTGAAACAGCTGTGAGTGCATTATCACACCCTCCTGTCATGATTATGTAACTGGTCCAGATGATAAATCTCTGTGGCTATAACTTACCGTTTCCGAGTTTGCTGTTGTTGGCTCCTTGTTTCCATCATCTGCCGCAACTAGAGTTAACCTGAGGCGTCTGATCCTCCTCTGAGAAAAACAAACAGACAAAAAGCAAATCAATTATTTGCTGTACGCAAATACATGTTTGCATTATGTCATAGTGGGTGGGAGTGAGGCTATAGAGGAGTTCACACGTAACTAAGGCATTGAAAGGGTTGGCAAACCTCACAGACCTCAACGGTCCACTACAGTGGTTTTATTTATAGTCAATGGCATCAGAGTGGCAAGCAAAGTTTATGTAAATGCTACGAAACTGAGCTTACTGATACATTGTAATATTGACAACACAGTGAGAGCTTCATTTGGTTGTGTAACACACAAACATCTAGATAGGTTTAAAAGATTTTATTTCAAAAAACGTATTTTCTGCAATATCATGTTGAGTTTACCAATTTACAAGAGGTTCTTTATTCAGTACAAAACAATGGGAATAGGTTTAAAAGCCAGTTTAGTACAAAGGCCGGTTTTATCAGAGAGCTGTTCAAATAAACATGACAGCCATGCCTCCTGCAACCCAGCTCCCATTACACGCTCTTGTAAATGAACACATCCTATCACAAACATTAACTTTCAGATGATCAGGGAACAGACCATTTTTGCTTGGACTGAGAAAGTTAATCTCACTGTATACAGACAAGGAACAAGTGGCTGCACAAAAAGGAGCAGAGGACAGAAGAGGGAGGGGAAAATGAACTGTTTTGCAAAACACAGAGGAAAAGGGAGAGAGAAGGGGAAGACAGAGGGAGAGTTTCAGTGTCCTGACTTCTCTGGGACTTTCTTACCTCACTTGAAAAGTCTTCAGGGTCCTCTGTTGTTGTGGTGCTGGTGAATACAGACCGTCCTGATCCGTAGCGTTGCATGTCTCCTCTTGTGTCCACTCGTTTCTCTTCCTCTCCCTCTCTGGACGTCCTCCCACCCTTCCTCTCGCTACTCTTTCCTGAGTACTGCTCAGACTCTCAGAGCGACCATCTGCCCCCGGCTCCAGCCAGCCATAGTTGAGGAGGGAAATTCCCGTCTGTCAAGTCTATTAGTGGTGGGGTCCACAGGACTCAGAGCTTTCCTCTCTGTCAGTGAAATAATCAGGTCCAATCCAGTTCAACACTCACAAACAGAACTTTGTCATTGTCTTAATTCCAGCCAGAGTGATTTAAACTCCACCAGGTTGACAGGCTTGTCAGTCACTCAGCAACCTCTCTGCCTCTCTCTCTCTCTCCCTCTCTCTCTCTCTCTGTGTGTGTGTGTGTGTGTGCGCGTGCGTGCGTGCGTGTGTGCGTGCGTGTGTGCGTGTGTGTGCGTGTGTGTGTGTGTGTGTGTGTGTGTGTGGCTCTCTATTGCTCTCTCTCTGTGTCTCTGCATTCCCATCAGACCTGTCGGGCCACTTTTCAGCTGCCTCCCTGGTGTGTGCCTCATGCCCTGTGAGAACAGGACATTCACAGGGCGGGTCCTCTTACCCGGGACAGGTGGAGCATTTCTTATCAACAGAATTGGCTAAAAGGAGGAGCTGTTTATTAATGTGGAACTTCACAGAAAATGAGTAACCCTCTGTCATCCAGTGACAGCTAAATTATGTTAGTCGTATTTGTGATATTGTAAAATATATGTAAAATAAATGTTGGTCTATTTGCTGTTTTATCAAAAGCTTGGTTAAACACTTTGCAATGTAGGAAAGTAACACACTATGTTGGTTCACATTTGAGGTACCAAGGTATTGAGGTATTTAAAGTTCTTCCTACTTTAAACTTTATTCTACCATATTTCAGAGGAAACTCTACTTCACAAAAAATGTTCTATAGTTACGGTTAGGATTTAACACACACATGATAATCCCATATTATAAAACATAACAAATGTAACTATGCAACCATTTATTAAGCTGTTAAACATAGCTCAATTTTGACCTAAAAAGTACTACTTTCCTATTAATGCATCGATAAAATGAATCCATGTATACAATGATATGAAATTTTAACTGCAGCTGGATCCTCATGAATACTGAGAACCTGAGAGGGGAAACTTTTATTTATAATGGAGTATTTGTTTAGTGTGGTATTGGTACTTTCACAGTACTTTTAGATTCATCCAGTAGTGCCGCTGTGTATAAAATATCTTCTTTGGATTTCATTTAGTCATTTCACGGTTATATTAAAGGTACAGGCGGTATTTTGTTGTACAGGATATGTTTCAGTCAATAAATTATTGATGCTGTTGATAGTGGATAGTGATGAAAAGGAAGACAACACGGCAATCATTATTTGTTTATGTTATTGTTAGACCTTCTGCTTCACAATTACTCCTTCACTTGGTTTTACACAGTACATTAATACTCATTAGCTGATACTTACTCATCTTTAAGGAACAGAAAGACAAACACCCTCACAACCAGATCACATTCCTGGTTGAGATGGCCTGCAGTCACTCCCTTTTAAATCGAAACCGGAGAAACACTAGCGTTGCAGAGGACAAGGAGTGTCAATGGCTCGTTCATTAGTATTGCTGTTAGCTGATGTCAAAGTAAATATGAAGAGAAACATATTCAGAGCAACATAAGGGCTATTTCTACAAGCCATATTGGTCAATCAGTAACTAGACTTCAAACAAATAGTGTTTCTTTACTTATGCAATCAGTGAACCGCTCACTCCTCCAGGCCTCTATCCAAGTCCAATGTCATGTGGAAATGCATGTGGAAGTCCTCTCCCTTAAACAATATACATACAACATTTACCTCCTGTCGTGATTGCACTTTTATTGGCTTCGGATCAGATCTTGCTGCATCATCAGATCAATCCAACTAGAACAAATATATGTTGGCAATATGTTGCCAATAAGCACAAGCAACGTAACAGCAGTTATAGAAGATAAATAAGTACATTTACTCAAGTATTGTGGTACAAGGTGCTTTTTACTTGAGTATTTCCATTCCATTCATTACTTTACTACAAATCAGAGGGAAATATCGTACTTTATAGTCCACACATGTATTTGACAGCTGTAGTAGACTTCACAAAAACTAATGATGAGCTTTTAAAATATGACAGAGCTGAAACAATTAGTGAATTAATCATTGGCTAATCAATTATGACGATTTCCTTTTTCTTATCTTATCTTAAATTATATTACACCGATTCATTCATCAGCAGTTGTTTGAGTAGGATTTTGATGTTGAAACCAACAACAAAAGCTGTTGTCTGTTAAGCGTCCCTGCAGCAGTGGTTTTAAAGAGACATAAAGCAGCGTAACACATTTTGAGTGACAAATTTGCATTCTGTGATGAAATGCTACAGCTTCACGATGCTGCTCTGTTTTCAGAAATGTGTGACAATCCTAAGCAACTGACAGTTTGATCATACTGGCAATGATTTTTTTTATTTTTTTTAAATATTATATGTTCATGTACAGCCAAAGAGATTGGTGCACTTTGGAGCCTGAATATAATTTAAATGTCTGCTTTAAAAACAAATGTGTGCTCTTCAATGGATAGGTTTAAATTGTTTAAGTCTGTCTTAAAACAAAACCAACATGTCTGTCTTATCCGTTGTCTTGTCCATACTGGTTGCAAATATATTCTGGAAGCAATTTATCTTGTAAGTTATAGGAGACAGTCCTTATTCTTTGTGAAAATGACATATAGATCAGCTGAAGCTAATATAAAGCTTTAGCCAAAGTTACAGTATGTCCCTCTTTGTATATCCACAAACAGAGTTTTCTTGCTAAGCATAGGGGACGGACAGTTACAAAATGAGGGAATTAAGTACTTGAATTAAGAGTGAATTTAAGACAATCACTTTGTGAGTTGTGTAACTGCCGAAGCCTTATTATCTTTGGCTAAACTGTTATTTGCACAAAATGAGCACCATGGATTTAAAGTATTAGGATAAATTAGGGTGTAGACTAGAGCAATAGATTTTAGATATGGCAAGGCTCAGTGACGACATTAAAGGAAACACTGGCAGCTTTATGGATCCTAGCCTTTAACTGTTTGTTCAGTGAAATCACATAAAAGGAGAGGGCATGTTGTACTGGCTGGTTGTTGATATTTCAATGAAGTACACATCACAAGTGGATATATAGATCATAGTTGAGGGATAATGCCCTTTAAAAAAACATTATTGTGTAAGGGATTAAGTATTTCTCTCTGTTATAATGTTTAGCTCAGTCCTATGACTATTGAAAACTTGATTATGTTGTAAACTATGTGTTGATCATAAAATAGTTGAGACATAACAGTGACTCACAACAAACAAACTGAAATCAGGTTTGTCCTGCTCCTCTAGTACATGGTCCACTACAGTATGCAGGAAAAGATGTTTTTAAAGGAACTTTTTTAAGTAAAAGGGACCCTTCCAGGGCCTTGAAACAGTTTCATCAACATGGAATCAGTGTTGTAGTCAATTCACCAATTCACGAGTCCAAGTCACTCTCAAGTCACCACTCTTCGAGTTCGATTCCAAGTCCGAGTCACGGAGAGTCGTAGTCGAGTCCAAGTCTGAGTCACCCAAGTAGTGTCCGAGTCGAGGTAATGATGACTTGGACTCAAACTCGAACACAAGACTGTGTTCGAGTTCGAGTCCGAGTCACCCAAGTAGAGTCCAAGTTAAGTCAGAGTCACAAGTCTTCATGTATTAATCTCCGTGGATATATGTGTTGAAATGTAGCTGCTCCTCGACATTGCTTTTATCCTGTCATGTTATACTAATCTGTCTATTGAACTGCTGTGAAGCGAGTTTGGCTACAATTCTTGTAATAGGTGCTATACAAATATAAAGCTTATTACTAGTATTATTATTATTATTATTATTATTATTATTGTAAATTACCTTTAATATTTCTAACTATAATTAAAATGAGTTACCTTTTAGAGAAGTTGAACTCGCCTCACAGGTGCATATGCCATGATAGAGGACATCAGACTCCAGAGAAAACTTGCTCGAGTTCGAGTCCAAGTCAAAGCGTCAATGTACTAGTCGAGTCCGAGTCATCGTGGGGGGAAAAATTCACAAGTCCTAGTCCAAGTCAGCGTACGCAAGAATTCACGAGTCCAAGTCCGAGTCGCGTCAATCAGTGCGCAAGTCCGAGTCCAGGACTTGAGTACTCCATCTCTGCTGAGTGATATATATTTTACACACTGCTCTGCTTTCTGCACGGACCTCACAGCTGTTCTGACTGGAAACATTGCTTCGCGATGAAAGCAGTTTATAAAATAATATCCAGGGGATGGATGCAGAGCTGTGATTGGCTGAGATCAGTCCGGCTGTGCGTCACGACTCTTTGAAAAACCACTGTTGCCGGAAATGCATCCGCGGAGGAGCCGTGGAGGAACCATCAGTGTCTCCTTGGTTAGAGCTCCTCCAGAGAGCCTCCTCGATGCTCGATGCTCCTTCAACATGGCGCGCTGAAATCCATTTCCGGGTCACTACCGGAGGACCGAGGAGTCGTGGAGGGGAAATGAGAGAATTGAGAAGCCTTTACTGTGTGTGATCATGGTCACTAGCTGGCCCTGTTCGTAAACAGCAGTAAGACTAAAGCCATCTCTCCATAGATGACAGGTGTTTGAAACATTTAGTTTAGTATTACATTAATGTATTCATTTGCAGCTTGTAGAGGAGGGAGGTGTTTGTTTTTTCTCGGCAGACTCAAATGTGTCATGTGCAGATTAATTTGTGCCTCAGATCCTTCCTCTCTGGGTACAAGGCAAGTTTAAAAATACGACGCACAGCTCCCTGGATGCTGCTGGAGAGGACAGGCATGGTGAACACACAGATCCAAAGTGGGGGGAGGAGGAGGAGGAGATGAAGATGAAGAACGCTCATTTTAAAGTATAAAGGGAGCAACATTAGAGTTTTCTTTGAGGCAACTGTGACAAATACAAAACACAGATTGGAGTTTAACTTATAACAACTGGGCTCTGTGCTCTTATTTCTTTTGAGTAACTTCCTTTTAATCGATTGTTGTTGAGCTACCGGGAATGAAGGCCAACATATTCTGCACAGTATTTTAACCCAAACGCAGTCCAAACTGGGCGTAGAATGTGAACCCCCTGCAGAACCCAGAAGGACACACATTACGGGTGATGACAGTGTTTAGGCTCTGCTGTTGTACTCTGCTGAATGTACCTCACAGCTCGTCATTTGACTGGTTTTTAATTGGCATTTGCTTTGTGCAAATTCTGGCTTTTATATAATCATTTACAGTAGGCTACTGTATCTTGTTTTACTTTCCTTCACTTAGAATAT